GTGCTGCTAGAGGTGCTGGAGCTGGCGTTACTGGAGCTGCTGGGGCTTCTGGTGGTCCTGCTGGAGCTGGAGCTGTTGGAGGTGCTGCTGGAGCCGGTGCTCCTGGGGGTGCTGGAGTTGGCACTACTAGAGCTGCTAGAGGTGCTGCTGGAGCTGGTGGTGCTGCAGGAGTTGGAGCTAACGCTGGGGGTGCTGGTGCTGTCCCTACTGGTTCTGGAGGCGCTGCGCGGCCGCGGCCGTACTTCGTTCCGCTCCTTCAGCAGGTTCTTGGTCTCCCGCCTTCTACTGGTCCTGCTCCTTCCTTAGAGTGTCCACCGCCTGTCCAGTCGCAGTCACAGTTACAGCCCGCCTCCCCACTGCCTGCTCCTTCTCCTTACACTGGTCCGACCAGAGGGCTTACGGAGCGTCGTGAGCCCGAGTCTCGTCCTGCGTCGCCTGTTCGTACTGCTCGCACTAGTCGTCGTGGTTCGCGTCAGCGTCCTCCTTCTGTCCCTGGCACGCACCAGATGGCTTTGCGTCCTTCCACTGCTCCGCAGCGTGTCCCTCTGCCGTCTCCTCCTGCGTCCTCTCTTCCTGCCCTTGCTGACCCGGAGTCTGACTCCCTTCGTGCTGCTAGTCCTACTGTCACGCGTCTCCTGGCCACTGTTGTCACTGACCCTTCCTTTGAGTCCACTGCTGCGTCTGCCTTAGTTGCTGAGCTTGTCGACTTTGCTGCTCGATGTCGTCTAGACTACGCCGCTAGTCTTGTTGCAAAGTCTGGGTCTGTCTATCCTCCGTCCGTCGGGGGTGAGTGTGCTCTTAGCACGGACGTCCTTGAGGACAGGCAGGAGGAGTTCCAGTGTTTTGCAGCTGCTATACCTCATCTCGTGTCCATGCTGCTTGCCCCTGAGGGAGACCCGGAAGCACCAGACATCCCAACCCGGCGCTCTTACGCAGAGGCGATAGAGGGTCCCTACTCCTCTTAGTGGCAGACAGCCATGGACGCAGAGATGGCTTCCTGGAAGTCTACAGGCACCTACGTCGACGAGGTTCCCCCATCTGGGGCGAACATTGTCGATGGCATGTGGATTTTCAGGGTGAAGCGGCCGCCGGGTTCTCTGCCTGTCTTCAAGGCACGTTACGTGGCTCGAGGCTTCAGTCAGCGGCAGAGAGTTGACTACTTTAGACCTTCTCTCCCACCCCAAAGATGACCACTCTTCGGGTGCTGCTGCACGTCGCCGCTCAGCGTGACTACGAGCTTCACTCTCTTGACTTCAGCACAGCCTTCCTCCAGGGCAGCCTGCACGAGGAGATCTGGCTGCGCCGCCCACCTGGCTTCACTGGGCCGTTTCCTCCTGGTACCCAGTGGAGCCTTCAGCGGCCAGTCTACGGTCTCCGCCAGGCGCCCTGTGAGTGGCACGACACAATGAGGACTACGCTAGCGGCTCTTGGGTTTTCTCCTTCCACTGCTGACCCGTCGCTGTTTCTCCGCACCGACACGACTCTGCCGCCGTTCTACATCCTGGTGTATGTCGTTGACTTGGTCTTTGCTACTGCTGGACTGGCCCACGTGAAGTCGGAGCTGCAGAAGAGACACACGTGCACAGACGTGGGTGAGCTGCACAGCTATCTTGGCTTGCAGATCACCCGGGACAGAGCACGGCACACCATTACCTTGACTCAGTCACACATGGTGCAGCAGGTCCTTCAGCGCTTCAACTTCACGTACTCCTCGCCTCAGGCCACTCCTCTGTCTACTCGCCACTCGCTCTCAGCCCTGCCTTCGGATGAGTCCGTAGAGCCTAGTGGCCCGTACCCAGAGCTTGTTGGCTGCCTCATGTACCTGATGACCTGCACTCGACCTGACCTGGCATACCCTCTTAGCATCTTGGCACGCTATGTTGCTCCTGGGAGACACCGACCAGAGCACATGGATGCAGCTAAGAGGGTGTTGCGCTACCTGTGCAGTACGTCGGGCATGGGGCTCGTGCTTGGAGGACGGGCTCGAGTTGTTCTCACTGGTCACGCAGACGCTTCTTGGGTTGACGACTTGGCTACGCAGCGGTCGTCACAGGGTTACACCTTCAGCCTTGGTTCCGACTCTGTTTCGTGGCAGTCTACCCGCTCGTCTTCTGTTCTCGGCTCCAGTTGTGAGGCTGAGATCTACGCTGGGGCCATGGCTGCACAGGAGTTACGCTGGCTCACCTACCTGCTGACCGACTTGGGAGAGGCGCCTCGTTCTCCTCCAGTTCTGTACGTCCACAACAAGGCCATGCTTGCCTTGTGTTAGGAGCACAGACTGGAGCACAGAACGAAGCACATTGCTCTGCGCTACTTCCTTGGTCGAGAGTTGCAGTAGCGTGGTCAGCTTCGTCTTGCTTACGTGGCCACTCGGGCCAACACTGCTGATATCTTTACCAAGGCACTTCAACCTTGTAATCATCAGCGTTTTTGTACTATGTTAGGTCTTGTGCCTACCTGACCTCACTTGCTCACCTCTTGACTTTGCTTGTACTGTGATCTATATATACCTGCACCTGCATATTTACACTTGCTAGGTTGTGATCACTGTACTACTTGTTCTCCCTGATATATAACTCTGCATGTGAACTGGCCTTGTGGCCTTTTGCTTGTGCTCAGAATGCGTGGTGACGTCGTGATCCACCCTGAGCTTGACCTTTGCTTTGTTCTTTTGCTTGTCCCCCACTTTGCCTATGGGGGTGTGTCAGAACTATACTCTAGGCTATAGTGGGGCACTCCTTATGGGGTACAGCCCTTTTAGGTTTTGCCCATACAAACCTTGTACTGTTCTCATTCTAATCATTCCTTGTTCTAATTCTCACATATGTGTGTGTGTACGATTGTGTCTGCGCGTGCGTGTGTATGTTTGTTTGTTTGTGTGTGTGTGTGTGTATGTGTATGTGTGTGTGTGTGTGCGTGTATGTGTGTGTGTGTGGGTGTGTGTGTGTGTGTATATATGTGTGTGTGTGTGTGTGTTTGTGTATGTGTGTGTGTGTGCGTGTGTGTGTGTGTGGGTGTGTATATATGTGTGTGGGTGTGTGTGTGTATGTGTGTGCATATGTGTGTGTGTGTAGGTGTGTGTGTGTGTGTGTGCGTGTGTGTGTGTGTGTGCGTGTGTGTGTGTGTGTGCGTGTGTGTGTGTGTGTGTGCGTGCGTGTGTGTGTGAGCGCGCGTGTGTAAGCGCCCGTGTGAGAGTACGACGACTTATGTTGGCTTTGCTAGCTTGGCTGTACTTTATTATGCTATTACTAGCTTAGGTTTTCTTTATCATGCATAGATATGCTTGATTTCCTAGGTTAGGTGCATTCCTATATTTTATTATTTTTTATAGCACCGAACCAGGTTACGTGTACCGAACTCAAGCCTTTTCGGTTGCCACCGAATTGCTTTCTACCGAGTTCGGGAAGGTTCTGTCCGGGACGTTTCGCGACCCTCAGAATATTCGCGTAACACCTGGGTTACCTGCCTTGTGTCGAGACTATATATAGCCTTGTGTTGTACCCAGGTGAGTCAATCATTCTACAACCCATTTTTCTGAGCTCGATCCAAGATCCTCACTCTGCGCGCGTGTGCGTGTGCGTGTGCGTGTTTGTGTGTGAGTTTGTATGTGTGTGTGTGTGTATGTGTGTGTATGTGTGTGTTTGTGTGTGCGTGTGTGTGTGTGTTGTGTGTGTGTATGTTGTATGTGTGTGTGTGTGTTTGTGTGTGTGTGTGTGTGCGTGCGCACATGTGTATGTGTGCATGTGTGTGTGTGAGAGCGTCTGTGTGTGTGTGTGAGCATTTGTGTGTGTGTGAGCGTGTGTGTGTAAGCGTATGTGTATCTGTGTGTGCGTGTGCGTATGTGTGTAAGCGTATGTGTGTCTGTGTGTGCGTGTGCGTGTGTGTGTGAGCGTTTGTATGTGTGTGAGCATGTATGTGTGAGCGTGTGTATGTGCGTGTGTTTGTGTGTGTGTGTGTGTTTGTGTGTGTGTGTTGGTGTGTTTGTTTTTTTTTTTTTTTTTTTTTTCATCAAAACCAACATTTGATAACTAAGAAAATACCTTCCTACTAGGCTATCGGATTGACATCCGTCACCCATAATTGACTCCAAACCACGCACCAATTACGAAATGATAAAAAGAAACCATGCCCACCAAAGCGCACCGATCTCTCCCCGTCTCCCATGCCATTTACATCCACGCGTCCAGCATGTATATGGCCTTTCTCCAGACAGACCCACCCTCAACTTCAACGTCGCCCCCCTCCCTATTTATCATAACAACATCCACCCCCCCCCCCCCCCCCCCTCCATGGTCTCTGACCTTGTGCCTGTTGAAGAATGAGTCGGCGACTTATAGGCAATGGCTTGGTTAAGGTTTTCCCGAGCCGTAGCGAAAGCGAGTCTTTCTAGGGCGAATATACAGAGCAAGATGAGACGAGCTTGAATTCGTTATTACACTACCCCTATGAGTGCCTTCAGGGACCCTAGGAGATATGCCGGAAACACAATATTATCCTCCCGATAGTGCACGTTCCGCCGCTTGCGCAGCCAACGTTGAAAACTTTTGCGTAAACACCACATCTCTACTTTAGAAATGGTGAACTTCACGCTCGATGTCGCGTCAGCAGTGGTGCGTAATCACACGTCTTTTGACACTCCTGTTGTCTCGCTGCCACTCTCATGGAACCACGAAAAACACGACCAGAGAGGAAAAAACACGAAAGAGGGTCTGCAACACTGATTTCTAAACCGTGGGCCCCTCCATCTGTTGGTCGACGCACTGCGACGTCGACTCACTTCTCCGTCGGCAATGTGTGATGCAACGCGTGATGCGGGTCCGCCGGGTCTGTCAAACTATATATACATTGCTAGGTGTATAGTATGGTAGGCTGCGTGTGCAGTTTGTACTATACTTTCTAGGGTTCGCTATTTGTACCCACGTATGCCCTCATTCTAGTCATTCTTTATTACTAACATGCTATCATGAGTAGGTTTGGTCCCCGCTTTCGCTTCACCTATCCTAGCCCGCCCCTAGCCCACCGCCCCTCGTGTTCACTAGAGCGCCCGGAGAGTGCCCCGTCAACGGCCCCTGCAGCGCCCCTTCAGCGCCCTCATCGATCGCCCTACTTAGGGCCATCGCGCCCCACCTTAGACCCGTCACGCCCCACCCTCGGCCCGTCTTGCCCCACCCTAGGCCCGTTGCGCCCCTCCCTAGGCCCCAACAGGCGCCAGTAGCACGCTCATGCGCCACCGCTAGTCGCACCCGGCCTAGGCTCCCCGTCGTGTCCCTTGCCGCTAGCCGCACGTCACCCTTCCTGCCACCCGTTGTGCCTCTAGAGCTTGTTGCGCCCCTGCCGCCTGTCGCGCCCCTGCTGTACGTGTTGCAAGAGCCCACACCTGTGCCGCCGCTAGCACAGACCGCGAGGTCGACACAGCGTGCAACCGTGCCAGCACCGCCCTCGCTGCACACGCTGCTCGCATCGCTAGCGCAAATGCCAGTCCCGCCGCCAGCGCCGCCACCAATGCCACTGCCAGCGCCGCCGCCAGTGCAACCCGTGCCGCCTGCCCACTTCAGCAGCGCTCGCTGCGCGTGCACTCCAGCCTCCGCCGCCCGTAGCTGCCACTGCTACCGCACAATTGTGCCACCTGCGCCACCCGCGCTGCTAGTGCCATCTGCTGCTGTAGCTACTCCTGCCTCTTGGCCGCCCGCACCAGCCTGCCATCCGCAGTGCTTGCCACTGCCGCAACCGCCCGAGATGCCCGAGCCGTCCGAGACGCCCATGACACCCGAGCGTCCCGCGCCGCCGTACCTACCTAGGCCTTTAGAGTCCTCGCAGCCTTTCTCTTCCCTCTTCTTGCAGCCGCTTCCTCTCATATCCTACTGCTATGGCGTCTGAGTCTCTCCTGTGCTTCGATGCGGAGGGTCATGCAGTTAACTTTCAGTCGTGGCTAGATTCATGTCTCCCTGCAGAGTCAGTTTCAGCAGGATGTCTCGTTGTACAAGCATGCTACTAATGAGCTCACAACCCCTCAAGTGTCTTGATGATCCTCCTACTATTGCTACCCCTGATCAGCAGCAGGAGTAACGCACGGCTCACATGGAGTTCACGTAGTGGAGGGGGGGTGACGCATTTGCACAACTCGCTATCCTTCGCCATCTCCCGCAGACTAGGCGGGAGTACTTTAATAAGGTGAAGATGGCGAAGGAGTTGCTGGATGCAGTGATCGCACGCTATTCCACTCCTTCTACCACTACGTTAGGCCGCCGCATCCTGCTTTTCCTCTTTCCAGACCTCCCTTCGTTCCGCACTGCCGCTGATTTGGTTACGCACCTACACTTGCTAAACGCTACCTTCCACGCTGCTTCCACTCCTGAGCTCCTTGATAAGCCTCCCATGTATATGACCCTGTATCTCCTAGTGACCCACCTCCCTAACCGCTTTGCAATCGCATGTGACTCGCCTCCCATGACCTGTTTGAGTGACATCTCACTGAGATCGAGTCTAGTCACCGCACCATCGTCGCCTCCTCTGGTACTCTAGTTCCCCCAATCTTTGAGAGGTGTGCCCTGACCCTTCTGGCTAGCTCTACGACCTCGGGCTCTATTGCTGAGCCTGCTGCTTTAACAGAGGTTGAAGCGGTTGCTGCCTCCGATCACCAGTGGTGTCGAAAGGGTGGTAAGAAGGGTGGAGGGTTTGGAGGAGATGGAGGTTGCGAAGGTGCTCAAATGTTTGGAGGTGCGGACGTTGGAGGAGGTACAAGGTCTGGCGGTGTAGCTGGAGGAGGTGTTGGTCGTGAGGGTGTCGTGGTGCAGGAGCATTAGCAGCAGCGGCAGTTTCAGCAGCAGCAGCAGAAGTCGCAATCGTTTGTTTGAGGGTCCCGCAGCAGCAGTGGGGCTCTGTCGGCCCCACGTGCACTCGCACCGACCGTGGACCTTGCTAGTACGTGATTCAGACTGATCCATGCAGCGGCCATGTCTGCGCAGGTCTTGATCACTCCGCTGAGCGGTGCTTCGGCCCCCTCTCAGACCTCTACCTCGGCCGCTTCGGGCTTGCAATTTGGGTCCCATTCAGGGGTGCACTGCTCTGACATAATCTGCCTTTCTTTGCTATGGACATGATTGCAATTCATTGTGCTTGTACTTTGTGCCTGCCATGTCTATTGATGACTATAGTGTTGTCGGATCTTATTATTCGTGTGTGCATGGTCCTGAAACTCTAGCTGTCTCTAGTATAGGATCATCTACTATTGCCTGTACTTGTGCAACCGATGCTAATGTTTCACTCTTCTTCACGCTTCACTCTGGCACCTATCGGTTCTTCTTTTGTGAGCACACTGGCCTCACGCCACTTCCCGCACTAGTCTTAGTCGCGTTAGCCGACGCCTCTTCTGGATTGGTTGTCGCTTGAAGCACTACTACTCTTCCATATCCAGCAGTCCCCTCTGGCTCCCTCATTGGTCTGCACAACCCCTCGTTCTCCTAGAACTTGGTGACCTAACGTGAGCGTAATTATCGCCGAATGATTCCAATGAATTCGTGAAGGTCCTGTTTCCTTCGGCTCTAGAACCGAAGTACCTTCTAGTTACACCCGTGTTACCTGCCTCGTATCGTGCCTATATATAGCTACGACCTTGTATCCATGTGATCATTAGTGATTATTCAATTGAGTACTGGATCCTCTCACATACTCTTCACGCCTCGAAACACACATTTATGGGCAACTTCGGCTCCTCCAACCCCCCCCTATTCTCTTGGCACATGTTGCCGACGCTGACTTTGTTGACTTCCGCGTCCGTAACTGATTAGTACATCCATTCTGCCGGCCTTCGAGTCCGCGTGCTTACTACTCTCGCTGTGCTGTAACCGGAGTCTCCGCCAGGCTTTTCCAGTTTGTTGGGACGGCGCCGTACGCATTCGTCGCCCCACTGTCTCGTGGCACTGCCGCCACCTGGTTGGTAAAGGTTCGGGTTTCCCAAACCACTATCTTGGTGCAACTGACAAATGGTGCCGATATTCTGTATTTTGCATTTACAAAGCTCGACAATTTGCAAACGCGTCGAAGTTCACCCCAAAAGCACGATGCAGCGCTTCCTTATTGCAATGATGAAGATCAAAACATGCGTGTTATTGTCCATCCTTAGATAAATGCTTCCGTTTTTTTTTTTTTGTCATCTTGGAGAGTGTGACACAACTGTTCACACTTGGGTGCATTGATTCGCACACCAGTACAAGACTTGCCGCGGACAGCAGCTACTATTTCGTCTTCGTGCCAGATATTGTCGCCAAAGAAATCGCCCACGAAACTCAGTACAGCAAGGAGTTCGTTCAGTGCATTAGCGAACAGTTGTACGGTAACTCTCGTTTCGCCGCAGATTTCCCGAGCCGTTGCCGATGTGATTTTCCTAAGAGATTGGCCATGTCGAGTTGGTTTTCGGTGGGACTCGGTTTGTACTATCACAGGAGCCGCTGCCGCACCCTAGTGCAGTGTCAGGTTGTGCAACTTCTGGACGCTCACTGCGGTCAACTTCGTTTCGTCACGGTGCAAAACGGTAAACCTTGAGAACCGTTTCCAACCGTTTAGAACCGTCCTGAGCCACGAAGAACTGTAGTTGTGCGAGAAATGTACGTCGCCCTATAAGCTGACAAAATACAACTCGTTCCTAGATTCGGTTCATCCTAAATAGGGCTGACGAACTCCCATGTCCAACGAATGTCGAACTCCTTCCAAGCTCCAAATTTCCTGCCTACAACCTTTTCCAGATGCCTCTTTATCAGTGCTGATGATGCTGGGCCTTCCCTGAGAGATCCACCAGAAAGAGCAGCCAACGTTCTTGAAGCTGCTTCCCTAACTCCAGGTGTTGCAACCCCAAGTCTTCCCTGCTGCTGCCTCGTGCTCTGTACTGCAGCAGACCCACCAGGAACAGCAACCAATGCTCTTGACGCCACTTCCCTTGCACCTCCAACCCCACCCTCCTGCCTCATACTCTGTTGAGCTGCCGCTTCCTTCAAGCCTCCACCGGAAGGAGCAACCATTGGCCTCGATCCACACAGCACACTTGCACTCAGATACAGCTGCCTTGTGCTCCCTGCTGACCCGTCCTGGAGCGGCTTGAGGGCTCCACCAGAAGCAGTCACCGCCGTTTTCTCCACAACTGCTACAGCTGCTACTGCTGCTACAACCCGAACCTCCTGCCTCAGACTCTCTTGAGCTGCTGACCCATCCATGAGACCCCCACCTGGACCAGAAGCAGTCACCGCCGTTTTCTCCACAACAGCTACTGCTGGTGGTCGCGTGCTGTCAGGCTGGAGACGCCGAGTAGGGAGCTTTCTCCAACTGGCTGCAGGCGTTCCCCTGACCAAGCTCTGGTCTGCACCTAGCAGACCCATCCGTGATGCGAGATGCACAGCAGCAACCACGTTCTTACTCACTGTGAATGAAACCAGCAAAAGAACCAGGTCAAGCAGCAACGAGCTGTCACTGTACTGCTTGTTGTAAATGTCACAGCGGTTGAGCTTGCAATCACCAAGGCAGAGGATGTTGACAGCACTGGCAGTGGAAGGCTCTTCGCTGGAGCTCTGGCCGCTGCAGCTGCTGCCAGAGAAACCACTGGTCGTGCTGGATGCCTCAGAGCCGACCAACTTGGCGTCACTCCTGCAGCTGCTGCTGAGATCCGAATCATCCTCCAAGCCGTCGCCCTCTGCAGCCATATACAGTGAATAAACCTCATCTGCAGCCTCGGCTTCAGCTTGAGGTACTTCCCGGTCCTCAGAAGAGCCGAGCCACGCGTCCTCCTCCTCAGCAGCAGCCGGAGAGCGAGCTGGGGAGCTCATCCAAGCATCGTATTCCGCCTGTAGCACAGCATGACGCTGCGCCTGCAGCAACTCTGCCTTTTTTCCAACCAAGGCCATAGCCTCGGCGAACGTAGGACCCTCAGTAGACGACCGAGCATACCGCTTCGCCTGGATCAGAAAACCGCGCTTCTCCCAGAGGGCCAAACGCTCAGCAATGGACGGAAAGTCAGAAGAACAAGCCATCAAGCTAACCGAGCGTGAGTGGGAGTAAAATAAAAGCTAACCGCTAAGAGCGAAGATGTTCCGCGAGAACGATATTAAGAACGAATCAACGTTATGAGAGGTTTGAACTTGCTAGACAAAGGCTCAATCAAGAGATCAAGAAGAAACTGGACTCTAAACTCTGAAACTAAGACTTCAGTGCGTTGGGTTTGTAGATGAGACGAGCAGCAGGAGAGAGAGGGATGGAGGTTGTGTGGAGGGGACACTCACAGGAGGAACTTTTCTCGGATACTGCCCGAGCACCTCCGAAAAATCGGAACCGTGTGCTGGGCCTGGCATGCTGCCTAACGCGAAACCTACTGAAACCGCGAAAATGGGAACGAATCTGCTGGTGAACCGATTTTCACCGAGGGTCTTCGCAAGGGAGCGACGCGACAGGATCTGTTTTTTGCTAATCCCGAATCTATTGTGCCTCCCCCCGCCAAAACGTTTTCCGCTGCGCGCTAGCGGAGCTTCTTTCCTACAAAGTCGACGGCATGAAATAAAAAGTTTCGCCTGCCCGACCGCACTCGAAGCGCTGACGAACCTCTGGGGTACTCCCATTCCCGAAACTGCCTAAGGGTGGTGCCGCTGTGCCTCCCGCAATCGAAGGAAGATAGGCTTGAGAGCGAAGCTCTGAATCTGTGAACAGCATAGGGATGAGATCGAGGTCAGGCTGGGTGAATTCGTATCGTACTCCCTAGGGAGCTCCTCGTCATAAACATTATGCATTCTCAACTATCAATACCATTTCATGCATATTTGTGCACCAATGAATTCTCCTGAAAATCGGAAGTGCTGTAAAAATGATGTGAAAACAAAATCAGCAAAACGAAACACCATTTTATATGTTCAACATGCTCTATGTTCCCCTATTTTTATGGATGCTGCACGGTTGCTTCTGTGTGAAGTGTGAGTTTGAGTTGTGTTGGTGTTAATATTTTAAACGCTGATATAACTAGCAAGAACTGTTTTGGCACGTTGCAGTCACTCAGCCGAACTGCACCACTTCATTTCTTCAGTCAACCTCTTCCAAATCTGGCATCACTCGCGCCTGCCTATATACGAGGCACAAAACCCCGCCTGCTCGTTCCCGTCACCTCCGAGTCGCGCTGACGCCAGTCAGCAGCCAGTTTCCAGTGCTGACGCCAGTCAGCAGTCATTTCCGTGACAGTGCAATCGCTTTTCTCTCGACATGGGTCGCGCATGGGTCTGCTGCAGCAGTCACGATCGCTGGAAAGTTTTTCTCGAAACAACGATGTCGGTTTAATATTACAAGGCGAAAGAATCGGCGGAAGTGGCGGCTTTTGCGCCTCCGCATGCGCTCGTACGCTCCGCCGCCGCCTTGACGAGATGGATTTTGAGTCGACTCACTGGTCACCTCCCCGCCGCCTCGACGATAAATTATTTGGACAAATACTGGACGCTGGAATGTGCTCTGCTAGGCGGCTATCGACGCTTTTACGGGGATCTTGATTGAATCGCGGATCGCGCTTATGCGAGCTCCCCGAAGGTCCCTTACTAGATCCCGTAAGGTACAGCGTTATTTGTACAGCGATGTACATTTTTCGAAATTGTGTTGTGTGATGTTTTTTCCCTCGTCGGATTTGGCATGAAGTGTTTCTCCTCGTCTGCTTCACCCCAAGTGTCCATCCCTTCCTCTTTCTCCTTCCCGTCTATTTCCTGCCGCTCACTCGCTTCCTCTGTCGCTCGTCCTCGGTTTCCCCCTCATTCAGTTCGTCTCTCCCTCTCGTTCTTCCCTCTTCCCTCCCTTCACCTCTTCCTCTCATGCTTCCAGACCGCTGCATCTACGAGTGCTACTGGTGCCGCTCTTTTTGTGATTCCGAGGGCAATGTGTGGGGATGGAGAGCAAGGCAGCACATCAAGTTTTCATGCATGGGTTGTCAGGTGCGATAGGGATGAAGAAGCTGACTCATTGGCTGCAGGTGACAGTGCTGGCAGCAGCAGAGGTCCCTCACCACTGGCTGTCCCTTACAGGCTGCAGAGGAGAACCCGTAGATGCAGTGGGGTGGGGTGCGGTGTATGCTGAGGCAGGCAGGCAGGCAGGCACCAAGGTACGTCCAGGGATTCATGGGAGTGAGGACGAGGGAGAGGGGAGTGGGAGTGGGGAGAGGAAGAGGGGAGTGGGAGTGGGGAGTGGGAGAGGGGAGTGGGAGAGGGGAGAGGGAGAGGTGAGTGGGAGAGGGGAGATGGAGATGGAGAGGGGAGTGGGAGAGGGGAGAGGGAGAGGTGAGTGGAGAGGGGAGAGGGAGAGGGGAGAGGGAGAAGGAGAAGGCAGAGGTGAACGGAGAGGGGTGAGGGAGAGGGAAAAGGAGTTATGGGATGGAGATGAAGTTGGGGAATGGTTGAGAGAGGAGAGCAGGTAGGCTAGAAGGGACAGGGAGGCAGGCAAGTGAGGAGGATGTTGGACCGAACGAGAGGAGATGTTTCATCATCTTAGTTTTAACAAGTCACAGTGCCTTCCTGTTTGCAGGTCAGGCCAGAAAAAAATGAAATCTCTACTGTGGGTAGTGCAAGGAGTGGAAGAGTTGCACAGCTAGTAGGAACCTGGACAACTTCATCTGTGGCTTATCGTCTTTAAGTGCGCTGAAGTTTTTTTCCATGCATTGCGTGCGAGCTCGGAGGAAGAGGAATTCCATTCACTGCAGGTGACACTGCTGGAAGCAGCAAACTGCACGTTTCTTATGTGTGGTATGTCCACGAGTGTTGTTTACGGGTTATTCCATCCCACTCCTCGCATGTGTCCCAACTCACATTGCAAGCGATACTGCTGGGAGCAGCAAAGGTGGCTCCGTTTCTTGTAACGTCATTCATTGTTTTAGGGCAATCCGCCTCATTCTGTTTTGACTTCTCAAAGGTGACAGAGCTGACACCAGCAGAGGGCAAATCAAATCTACGAGTGATCCTGACTCGCTTCAGCTCCATTCGTGCTGATGAGCTTAGCTTCACTTCAGGTGAATTTTTATGTTCTTGAGGTAAGTCTTGATGAGCTGCAGGTGTGCTCTGATGAGCTTCAGGTGAGTTTTCATAGACTTGAGGTGGGTTTTGATGAGCTGCAGGTGTGTCAATCATCTCATGGCAGCATAGCATGCTCTACAGTCTCACATTGCGCAGGGATGACACTTCCACTAAACGTGGCCTTTCTGTGCCTCCTCACACACACCTAGCCTTGTTCTTCTCCTCTCTCCCTCTCCCACTCACACCCAGCCTTGTTCTTCACTTCTCTCCTCACACACCCAGCCTTGTTCTTCTCCTCTCTCCCTCTCCCTCACACACCCAGCCTTGTTCTACTCCTCTCCCTCTCCCACGCACAGCCTTATTACTTTCCCCCTCCCTACCCACTTGTCTTGCCCCGGACAGCAATTTTTCCACTGCGAGCTAGCAGAGATTCTTTCCTACAAACCCGACGGCATGAAACGATAAATTCCGCTGACCCGACCGCACTCGGAACGCCGACGAATCTCGGGGGCACTCGTATTCCCGAAAATGCCTAAGGCTGGTGACGCTGTGCCTCCCGCAATCGAAGGAAGACAGGCTCGGCAGCGAAGCTCTGAATCTGAATGGGTGGATTTGTACTCCCTAGGGAGCTCCTTGTCGTAAACAGCACTCTGCCTGCAGTATCAAGCAGCAGTGCTCGTTTATGTTGAGCTTTCATCCATCTGTATTAGTACACAATTATGGTTTTATGAGAATGGAAATCATAGTGACTAGGACGCAATTGAAACTTGTGGCAAAAATTCCATGGTAGAATATTATCACGGATCGTGCACAACGATTAGTGTTATGGGACCGTTAGGTTGAGTTGTGTTGGTCTTAAGGTAACAGTTCAATATCTACTTTCTGTCTAATTTTAGTTGATGTATCTTTCAAACGCAGAGTTGAGAGGTGATGCTAGAACTCAGTGTGGACATATATAGCTGGTATAATAGAGCTCCAACAACAGAGTGATTTCGACTACGCTGTATCAAGAAACGTTTTAGCGCGTTGCTCTCACTCAACCAAACTGCACCACTTTACTTGCCTGCTTGTTCCCGTCACCTCCGAGTCACGCTGACGCCAGTCGACAGCCATTTCCAACGCTCGCGTGTCGCGGCGGTCGCATTTTTCGAAATGTGTCGCACATTGACTTTTTCAATGCAAGGCGGAAGAATCGGCGGAAGCGGCGACTTTTGCGCCTCCCGCATGCGCTCGTACGCTCCGCCGCCGCCATGAGGATAGATTCAGATACGGATAGACGCTGGATTGTACACTGCTCAGCGGCTAGACGCTTTTCAGCGGGATCTGGATCGAATCGCGTATCGCGCTTATGCGAGCTTCCCGGAAATACCACAAGGAGCAGCTGTGCTACACGAGCAGAGATAATCAAGCCAATCTGCCGCGTCTGGTAGTACCGCTGCGGACGATCCCGACGAGAAGAGTATCGTTCCGTAAAAAATTTCAACTTCTCATTTCTCTCGATGTCGAGTTTAGCTCTTATGTAGTCACGATCGATGGAGAGGTATTTTCGAAGCAAGCATGTTCTGCGTTTTTACTGGGACGTGGAGCATCTGCAGCGTTGCTGTCTTGAATGGGAGTAGTAGCGGTGACACACGGGTGCAACCTTGTTCTGCAATGTTGCTGTCTCCAGAAGCTTAAAACACCAGCATTTCAGAAGTTGATACGTTTCGATGTTGTAGATTGTGATAAAGGGCAATCGAATGAGCTCTAAGCGAAGGCTACCCCTGAAGGGCCTCCACGCAATGGATTCGCAGAAGCCTGCGAGCTATTCGAGCCATTGTGCCGCGTCTGAGAATACCGCTGCGGAAAATTCTGGCAGGGACGATCCATGTCAACCTACGAGTGCGTTTCAAGGAAACAAACAAAAGGTCCTCCCGATTTTGACAAGTTTTTAGTAACGCACTTCTCTCCTCACTTCTTACTGCCTTATCGCAGGTGACAGTGCTGGCAGCAGCAGGGGAGATCAGATCCCGTACCTGAGTTAACGGTAGATTGGCAGCCGCAGGTGACGGTCACATTTGAGGCGCCTCAAAAGATCCCGTACCTGAGTTAACAGTAGATTGGCAGCCGGAGGCGACGGTCACATGAGGGAAGACCCATCCCTGCTGATGGTCTTCAGGTGAGGTTCAGGTGTGTTTTGATGAGCTTCAGGTGTTTTTTCATGCGCTTAAGGTTTTTAAATTGAGCTTCAGGTGATTTTTTTTCAAGAGCTTAAGGTATGTTCTGATGCGCTTTAGATGTGCTTTAGTGTGTGTTCCATAATCTCAATAGCATGGTCTTGCAGCGGAACTTCTTCCCATGTGGTCGACTTGTGAGTGGACTTGTGAGGTGAGTGGACTTGTGAGGTGAGTGGACTTGTGAGCTGGTAAGAAGTGTTCCGGGTTGTTGTTTCAAAGAGTGCTACAGGTAACACTATTTGTTTGTGTCAGTATGGAGGGATGTTAAAAAGGCAGCACTTTGGTTTTTATGCATTTTTCGTTTGTAAGGGGGAAGACCCCGCAGGTGGCAGTGCTGGCAGCAGCAGGCTGCGATGTTTGTTCCGTTGTGTGCTAGAATCGCTTTTGAGAAATCTGTTCTTAAAGTGATCTCATAGCATTATATTATGGGCTGTTCAGCCTCACTCCTGTTCAGCCTCCAGCTTACACCGCAAGTGGCAGTGCTGGCAGCAGCAAAGGGCGCCTGCCGTCCTTTATTGTCTTGTATAACGGGAGCAATCTTGTTACTGCGACCCGCCTCATTATTGTCCTAACTTGTTGCAGGTGACAGTGCTCGCAGCAGCAGAGGGAACTGTTGTGCTGCCTTTATTCAAATCTGCGAGGGCACCTGAGGGAAGCCCTGACTTGCCTCCGCTCCGCTCCTCCTGATGAGCTTCAGGTTAGTTCCGATGAGCTTCAGGTGGATAGGGATGAGCTTCAAATGTGTTTTTTTTTTAGCTTCAGGTGCGTTTGTAGGTGTTATTCCAGATGTTCTTTCATAAGCTTCCGAAGTTTTCATATGAGCTTCAAGCGTGTCTTTATGAGTTTCGTGTGTGTTTTGGTGAGCTCACTCTCACTTGGACCCACTCACTGCCTTACGGGTTATGTAGTCCTGCTCTTCACATGCCTCCTGATTCACACTGCAACTGTCAGTGGGCTGGCAGCAGCGAAGGCTACCGTTCGTCCTTGTGAAACCTCCTTCCTTCTGAGCCGACGCCTCTTTTCTGACTTGAATTGCTGCAGGTGACGGTGCTGGCAGGCTGGCAGCAGCAGCAGAAGGTATGTATCGGCTGTCGAATCTGCAAGTGTCCTGAGGTAAGCCCTGACTGGCCTCAAACCTATTCCTGCTGCTTAGCTTCAGGTGAGTTTTGATGGGCTTCACGTAAGTTCCCATGAGCTTCAGGTGGGCTGTCTGAACTTCAGGTGAGTTTCATGAACCTCAGTTGAGCTTTCATAAGCTTCAGGTGAGTTTTCATGAGCCTCAGGTGAGTTTTCATGAGATTCAGGTGAGTTTTCATAAGCTTCAGGTGAGTTTTCATAAGCTTCAGGTGAGTGTTCATAAGCTTCAGGTGAGTTTTCATGAGCTTCAGGTGAGTTTTCATGATGTTCAGGTGTTCATGGTTTGCGGTGTGCTCTGACGAGCTCCAGTGTGCTTCAAAGCACTTCAGGTGTGCTTCAAAGCACTTCAGGTGTGCTTCAAAGCACTTCAGGTGTGCTTCAAAGCACTGTGCTTCAAAGCACTTCAGGTGTGCTTCAAAGCACTTCAGGTGTGCTTCAAAACACTTCAGGTGTGCTTCAAAACACTTCAGGTGTGCTTCAAAACACTTCAGGTGTGCTTCAAAGCACTTCAGGTGTGCTTCAAAGCACTTCAGGTGTGCTTCAAAACACTTCAGGTGTGCTTCAAAGCACTTCAGGTGTGCTTCAAAGCACTTCAGGTGTGCTTCAAAACACTTCAGGTGTGCTTCAAAACACTTCAGGTGTGCTTCAAAACACTTCAGGTGTGCTTCAAAACACTTCAGGTGTGCTTCAAAGCACTTCAGGTGTGCTTCAAAGCACTTCAGGTGTGCTTCAAAACACTCAAAACACTTCAGGTCTGCCCTGATGAGCTCCAGGTGCGTTCATTCATTTAAGCTTCAGCCGTGTCATTCAACTCGTGGTAGCATACGATACTCACTGGTCTCCACTGTACAACAAGCGGCCTAATTCTACTCGTTTCTTCCCTCTCCTTTCCTTCCGCTCCCCATCCACGTGGTGAAGGTGCTCTGGTCGCCTCAGGAAGGGGCTGAGACACTTTCACCCAGCAGCACCTGGCATCCCAACCCCACCCCGCACGTCCTTTCCGTCTGGTTTTTCATGAGCCGCAGGTGAGCTTTTGAGCCGCAGGTGAGCTTTTGAGCCTCAGGTGAGCTTTTGCGCTTGGGCTGCGACTCTTCCACCCGGCAGTACTTGGCATCCCAGCCCCACCCCGCACGTCCTTTCCGTCTGTTTTTTTATGAGCCTCAGGTGAGCTTTTGAGCCGCAGGTGAGCTTTTGAGCCTCAGGGGCTGCGACACTTCCACCCGGCAGTACCTGGCATCCCAGCCCCACCCCGCACTTGCTTTCCTCAGGACAATGAGGAAATCAAATCTGCGAGTCACCTGAGGTTAGCCCTGACTCGCCTCGGCTCCTTCCTTGCTGATGAGCTTCAGGTGTGATCTGAAGACCTTCAGGTGTGACTCGAAGACCTTCAGGTGTGACCTGAAGACCTTCAGGTGTGATCTGAAGGCCTTCAGGTGTGATTTGAAGACCTTCAGGTTTGATCTGAAGGCCTTCAGGTGTAATTTGAAGACCTTCAGCTGTGACCTGAAGACCTTCAGGTGTGAATTAAAGACCGTCCGGTATGCGCTGATAATCTTGAGCTGATAATCTTGAGCTGATAAGACTCAGGTCGTTCTCTTCTCTCCCTGTCCACCTCCCCGCTTCCCTCCTCTCTCTTCTCACACCTCCCTCCCCTCCCATCTTTCCACCCATTCTTTCAGGCCTGCTGCTGGCCGGTCATCATCTGAGAGAGGCCTGCACCGGCTGCCCTGCTGCTGGTTGCTCATCATCTCAGTCTCACCCGCCCAGGGAGGGCGCATCAGCCAAGTCATAACCTGTCATGATGGCTCTCATATACATGCTCATCCATGCTCATCCATGCTCATCCATGCTCATCCATGCTCATCCATGCTCATCCATGCTGAACCCTTCAGAACCCTCCATGTCATTGCTCCATCACCTGCTGGCCGAATTGCCATCAACCATGCTGAGCCCTCCATGTCATTGCTCCATGTTAGTCAAGTGGCAATGAGTTAACGGGAGTGCTGGCTGGGGGTTGAAGGAGTAGAATGGAAAATTTGTTTTGAGGTTGATATTCTGTCATGTTCCTGCGCTCCTCCTCTCGTTTTCTGTCATTGGTCTGCTGCTTACCTAGGTCTGTTGAGGTTGGTCTGTTCCTTACCATCCTCATCCCCATCTTGTCTTTCCATTTTCTTTCCATGTGCAGGTTCATGCGCCCTGCTCCAGTAGTCCTGTTATTCACCCACCTACCTGATTTGTCTCATCTGTTGTGGCAGCAAAGGGTCACATGGCAACAAAATTGCCATTAAACCGAATGTCGACATAGATGCATACAAATTGCTGATTGGAATGTGCTGTCAGGGACCATCCAATCCAAAGGTTTCACACAGGCCATAAAGCTAATCATTGGTCAGATGTACCATAGTAACAGAATATCAGCATCTAAAATTGTCTTTTCTTGTTTCCAAAAAGAGCTTGCAAGTTTCTTGCCATGATGCCAAGCATGTGAGGTACAATTGTAACTGAACTGAACTATTACCACAATGGCTATAATAAATAGAACATGAAACTTATTGTACAGAGCTATGGTACATCTAATCAGTTTCCCTTCCAGTTGAAGTCCCTACAGCATCCCTTAGGGCCTCCATGGAGGCCTTATTGCCGCCACCCTTGCCATACTTGACGCACCCCTGCAAGCTCCTACTCTCCTGCATATGACTTTTTCCTGTTGCTTCTTTCTCAGTGCTGCTGAGCCTTCACTGAGAGCTCCACCTGAAAGAGCAACCAATGCTATAGAAACTACTTCCCTCACTCCATATTCCGCACCTCTTACTCTTCCTTCCTGCCTCTTGCCCTGAACTGCAGCTGACCCAGCCCTGAGACCCCCACCAGGAAGAGCAGCCGGCAATCTAGAAACTGCTTCCCTCACTCCAGATTTCGCACCCCCAACCCGACGCGCCTGCCTCTTGCTCTGCGGTGCAGCTGTCTCTTTCCTGAGACCCCGCCCAGGATGAGCGACCAGTGATCTTGAAGACACATTTCTCTCTCCACATCCCACACATCCAACCTGTTCCTTCTGCTTCTTGTCCTGTGCCGCTGCTCCTGACACCTTCTTAAAACCTTCACCAGGAGCAGCCAATGCACTTGACGGCTCTGCCTTATCTCCACCTCTCACGCCAGACGCAATCACCAGCATTTTCTCCACCAGAACTGCCTTCACTCCTGCAGTCAGCACCGTTGTTTCCACAACACCTGCCTTGACATCCTCCTGGGAGCTCTGGGCGCCGCTGCTGCTGTCACTGAAGCTGCTGCTCATGCTGGAGACGCCGACAACAACTGCCTTGACATCCGCTGCTCGCGTGCTGCCAGGCTGGAGACGCCGAGTAGGGAGCAGTCTCCAACTGGCTGCAGGCGTTCCCCTGACCAACCTCTGGTCTGCACCTAGCAGACCCATCCGTGATGCCAGATGCACAGCAGTTACCACGTTCTTACTCACTGTAAACGAAACCAGCAGAAGCACCAGATCAAGCAGCAACGAACTGTCACTGTACTGCTTGCTGTAAGTGTTGTAGCAGTTGAACCTGTAGTTGCTGCAGCAGAGGCTGTTGACAGCACTAGCAGTGGAAGGCTCCTCCTGGGAGCTCTGGCCGCTGCTGCTGCTGTCACTGAAGCCGCTGCTCATGGTAGAGGCTTCAGAACCGAAGATCCTGGCGTCACTGCTGCTCAGATCGAAATCATCCCCCGAGCCCTCGCCCTCTGAAGCATCAAGCAGCGAGAGCACCAACTCTACGACCTTTGCTTCAGCTAGCTGCTCTTCCTGGTCCGCATAAGACGTGCTCCACGAGTCCACCTCCTCTACGACCTCTGCTTCCGATTGCTGCTCTTCCTGGTCCGCATAAGATGTGCTCCACGAGACCGCCTCCTCGACAGTGGGATAGTGAGCTGGGGAGAAGAACAGAGCACGACGCTGCTCCTGCACCTCTGCAGCCCGTTTCCTCCAAAGGCAAAAGATTTCAGCGATCGTAGGGTACTCAGCAGATGCACGGATCGGTGCATAATCCTTCATCCGCAGCAGCGTACCGCGCTTCTCCCAGATGGCCACAGCCTCAGCAAATGAGGGATAATCATAACAAGCCATGGGAGGGAAGAAGCGAAGAGAATCTGAACACTAGAGCGTCGAGCTACCGCGGGAACTAGATAAAGAATAAGGTTGCGAGAGCTCTGACCAAATGCTGGACAACGGATAAACCAATAAGACCGGTAAGAAACTCGCTTTGTTATTGTGAAAATGAGACTGCCGCTGGACGTCGGATTTGTAGGTGAGACGAGGCGAGGGGACCAACAGCAGCAGGGAGAGGGACGAGGTTGTGTGGAGGATCACTCACAGGAGGGAGGAACGAAAAGGGAGAGAAGTTTTCTCAGATGCTGCCCGAGCAGCTCCGAAAAATCGGAACTCTGCGCTGGTATGGTGCACTGCGCGAACTCTACTAAAACCGCAAACACGGGGAACTCTGGTTTTGCTGGTGAAGCGAGTCTCGCAGAGGGTCCTCCTGAGGAAGCGACGCGAAAGGATTCGTCGTTCGCTACCCCCGAGCCTATCGTGTCTCCTGGGCCCGACAAAACGTTCCCCGCTTCGCGCTAGCGGAGTTCCTCTCCTACAAACTCGAAGGCATGAGAAAATAGATTTCACCTGCCCGACCGCACTCGGATCGCCGACGAATACCTGGCGCACCGCCATTTCCGAAAATGCCTAAGACTGGCAGCGCTGTGGCCCCCGCGACTGAAGGAAGGGAGCGGGCGATGATTTCCGAGCCTGAGAGGTTGCGGAGAAATGAAATCAAGGTCAAAATGGTGAATCTGTACTCCCTTGAGTGCTCCACGTCCTGAAGCATTATTCAGCTTAATTTGCTTACGTGCTATTATGTACGGTATTGAGGGGAATATGAGAACATTTATTTGCAGTGTTTTTCATGTGAAAATAATTCTTTTATTATAACCGCTGTCAACAGAATTGAGAGATAATGATAGCAGTCATTGTAAAAAAAAAGCTGGGCTGCACCAAAATTATTGCTGACTAACAATAAGGCCTCTCAATGCTAAATGCCTATATGGTATGCTACGTGAACAGTTCTAATTTGTTCCTAAGCAGGGAGACTGAACCACTGTGTGCACAAGTATTTCTCTCCCCTCTTGACTGGTAATCCTGCATGCTTGGACCTACTATCTTCAATGCCTTGATCTGTCAAATGTGTGTACCAGAGAATAGCTTTCCCTCTCTCTGGCTTCACCTGCAGGTAGAAAAAAAAGAGTGGATTGTCAACAATCAGACAAAGAAGCACCTTCACTCATTTCATCCTCAACTGCCTCCCCATCCCTCTCCTCTTTCAACCATCCCCTCGTATCTCTCCAATCCCTCTCCCATCCCTCTCTCCTCTCCCCTCTCCGTGATCACCATCCCATCGATAGCAAAACATACCTTGATGCCTACGTTTGGAAAGTACGTCTCCCCTCCTTCAAAGCCATCATTCAGGTACACAAGGAATGTCCCACGAGCTTCAAGCGTGCCATCTGGCAACATGCGGCCGTCATAATGAGCCTTGTACTCCTGGCCCACGTCGTATTTCACCAGCTGGAGCTCTGACGTGGCAAGCCGTTCAAAATCTACGATTCCCGTTATGAGCTTCGCACATCCACGGATCTTCATGCACACCTTACCAGCAGCACTCAAGTCTTTGGAGGGATCAATCCAAGTCGTGCTGCAAGGCGAAAGTATGTCATCAGAAGGCGGATCATGAGGAAAACAAGAGCAAAACAGAAGAAAAGGCAGCAACATGAAATACGAACCTGCTGGTTCTATAGTCGCTTAGTCCACTATCCCCTTTGTTTGCTTTCTGCAGAAACGACAGAGATCAGGTTCAGCTAACGAAATCAAATACGTGTGAAGCGATAAAAGCAATGAATCTGAAAGTACTAGCTGAAGTCGGCAACACGACATGGGAGTATATGCGGGAGAGAAACTGACCTGGACTCGGCTCCGCTGCCATCGGCCGCTTCCTGATTCTATCAAAATTCTGCATTCGTCTTCCGACAGTAATCCTGGAAATTCCCACACCCGAAACTCTGTATCTACGGTCGAGAAGTTAAATCTTGGGGACTCTACCGGAACGATGCTCGTCTTGTTGTCGATATCATTTTTCGTAGGCTCACATGGAGCGTTTCTTTCAGAATCTTCAGCAGCAGTACTTTCAGACGCGGCACAGTGGCTCGAATAGCTCGCAGGCCTATGCGAATCAACAGATGCCCTTCGAGCAGAGCTCATTCGATGCCCCATTATTAAAACCTGCAACCATTAACCCTTCCAAAACGCTGGTGCAATATTGTTCTGAAATCAGCAAACCACAAGCAGTCAGTGAAGACGCCGTCTTTTCCTCAAAAATACATATCCAACGATCGTAAATGCCGCAGGCAAGCCATGCGCGACCCATTTCGAGAGAAATGCGACTGCGCCGAAACGCGAGCATTGGAAATGGCTGTCGACTGGCGTCAGCGTGGCTTGGAGGTGACAGGATCGAGCTGCTGTCTGTCGTCTGTCGTCAGCTACAAGGCGGGGCTGATTCTAGAATCCAGAATCGCTGCTGTCTGTCTGTCTCTCTGATGATCAGCTAGGCGGAATGAAATGTCACATCCTGCTGCTGCATGAGTCATGCAATTCGGCTGACTGAGAGATACGCGCTAAAAGTGTCCTTGATACAGACGACGAAAGTTGAAACGATTAGGAGCTCATTAACACACTTACTGGGAAGTCCGCAACACTTCCTTGTTTAAACAGTTTTCATTAGATTTATAGTTTTACAGGGATTTCAAACATCAGCTATCACATTTGAATGAATATAATTATTCTGTTTGGCCACCTCAGCCGCGGTAATGGTCCACACGATCCGATCCCTTCCACATACATCTTGAAGAATGAGAAAAAATATAATTGATTGAGAAAGCTTGCTTCTGTAGCAATTGGCATCGTTCTCATTACAATGGGCAATTGGCATCGTTCTCATTACAATGGGCTCAAGTACAATAGTTCCTAGCAGTAATATAGTTGTAAGAACAAAACAAGATGTGTAAGAACTACTACTTTGCAAGGGTGACTAGCCTGGGGAGGGTGGGTGGGAATTGAACTTGAGCGATTGTAAAAATGAGAGACGTGGGTGGGGGAAGAATGACCCCAACCCACATTATATATTCGGAGAAGGCGAATAGCGTGCTTCGACGATGCTCAAAATTGCGTTACAGTCAGCTTCGCTTTCACAATACACAAATTTGAAAGCGATGAACGCTTAGAAATTTTTCATATTGAGAAAGCTTGCTTCTGTAGCAATTGGCATCGTTCTCATTACAATGGGTCACGCTGAGACATGTGCAAGGGTGCCAGACGGTGGCGCTTGAGAGCTCTGGAGTGTTGTGTTGGTGACGGCGCAAGAGCCGTTGATTGGAGGTTGCGAGAGGCATCAATCAGGCGATCGGCGGTGGGTGTGACATACATTTCCTTGGCTGATTCACTGTGCCAACGGCCAAGCTGTTTGAAGAGCCGATCCTCGATTCCTGCGTTTGCTGCTACAGTTGCTGCTACTTTGCGAAAGGAGAGGGTACCAAGAGCATGGTCACCAAGGCCGATGGCGAGAAAAGCTTCCTTGCACCAATTGCGTATGGTGGTGTACGATGGTGGTTTGACCGAAAGTGAGCCTTTCGTAGCCGAACCGAAGACTCGGATTAATGGCCCTGGTGTGGAAGGACCATATCTTGCCAGTTGGATGAATCGCTTGGTGCATCGAACGGGGCAGAAGGGTCCCTGACTTGCGGCAATAGGCACCCATGCGCCCTTCGCCTCTTGGTCCGTCTTTGAGCGCGGGATGAGTAGCCACATGACATCGTCTTCAAACTGGATATCGTTCCAGCAGATGGAGGCGAGATCCGAATACCGCAGGAAACCGGCGTACATGAGAAGTGGTATGAGTCCTTTTTGAAAGGTGGACGGGTCGTCCGAACCAATGAAGTGTGCGGCCATGGCGTGCACTTGGTGAAGAGACACTGGTTCTTTGGTCCTGTGGGGCCGAGGGCAGTGGCGCTTCGCAAATTCTCGGACTTGAGATGTCATTGGGCCGATAGTTGGGCAAGCAACCCCAATCATGCGGTGGGCGAAACCAACCGCCGAACAAGTGAGTTGCACCACTGAGAAGGTGGCTTGGTGGCGAATGGCGTAAACGAGGTATAGGGCGAGTGTCATATCTCGTGCAGGCAGGAATGGTAGCTTAGCCTTGATGCAGAATGAACGGAACTGCTGCCAGTATGGTTCGTAAGTCTTGATCGTAGATTCCGCACGCGTTTGCAGCATCATAGAGAGCAATTGGCTCTGCAGCGAGCGAAGTAACCCTGAAGCAATCAGAGAGGGCGCGAGCAATGTGTTAGCGGAAGGATATGCGCAGGGCCATCATCATGCTATGGGGGAGGCCGGAACCCGAGAATGCGGTGGTGTGCGTGCCAGGTGCAAGGCATTGGCTTCCGTGAGTAAGTTTCAAGGAGTCACGGATCTGCGAGGCCCAGGCGGGCGGCGAGGGTTGAAGAAGAGGCCACCAGCTAGCCCCAGGCCAGAAGGGAACGATGAGTGTCAGTGAGGCTGCTGTCCTCTGTGCGTGGTGAAGGACTGCCGGGATCAATTGTGGCGGTGGAAAAGCGAAGCCATGTTCAGCAGCCCAGGATAGCGTGAAGGAGTTGATCGCTGTCGCCTTAGGATGTGGGTGTTCACAGCAGAATCGGGGGAGTTTGGCATTCGCAGCGCTGGCAAAGAGATCTATAGAGTGTGGCCCCCAACGCCTCTCGAGAAGGTTAAACCATGGTGCCTTCAGGGTGTAGTTGTCTCTGTCGAGAGTCTTCGAGAGCTCATCCGCGAGCGTGTTAAGCTCGCGGGGGATCCATTCCATGATCAAGCGAATGCGATGAGTCATGCAGATGCGGATGATGTCTTTGCAAGTGGTAGTGAGTGAGCTGTTGCGTGACCCACCCTTTTTTAGGATGAAGAATACACCCTGGTTGTCGACACGCACGAGCACATGCCTGTTCTGGATGAAGCCGGTGAAAGTTTGAAGTGCCCAAAACACCCCCTCTAACTCACGACGAGTACTTGAAGTGCAAAGTAATTCCTGGGGCATGTTCGAGCAGGCCTTGTGAACGCCCGTGGAGAACATGTCGAGTGTGGCCCCCCAACTGTGCGCGCTGGCGTCGACATGGATGATTGCATCGTAGCTACCTCGAACATGAAATGGGCGCCATTGAAGTGGTCGAACTCAGTTGACCAGAACTCCAACTCTTCGCATGCGCTCGGGGACAGCGACACCCTGCTGTTCCATGACGAGGCGTCGTTGATGGTTTGTAGTAGTGCATGACTAAATGCTCTCGCTGTCGCCCCAAGGGCAAGGGTCATGGAGGCGAGCATGCCTGTGACACGTGCGACGTGCCGTACAGGGACTTTGTGCTGTGCGCGTCCTGCTTCCAATAATGAAACAATGGTTGATTGCAAGACACTTCGTCGCTCGTTGCCGACAGAAAATTGTCCACACCGGGTATCGAGCTCCAATCCTAGGAATCGTAGCTGCTGAGTCGGCTCGAGATGCGACTTTTTGGCGTTGATCACGAGTCCAGCTTCTCTTAGGTCGTTGATTGTGCAGATGCGGACGTCCCGGGCCTCAACTTCTGTGTGGCACAAGAAGAGGATGTCATCCACATATGGGATGATGCGGACCCCTTTTGCTCGCCATCGCCGTGCCAACTGTTTAATCAATTGAGTGAAGACGAAGGGCGCCGTTGCTAGTCCGAACGGAAGTGATCGGAAGCAGTATGAGCGCCCCTCAAACTGAAAACCCAAGAATTTCCAACAGGACGCGTGGATGTCAACGTGGTGGTAGCCTGACTTGAGATCAATTGAAAATATCCAATCACCCGGATGTGCTAGTTCCGACACGCGAGAAAGTCCTTCGTACTTAAACTTCGGAATGCAAAGCTCGCTATTAACTTTGCGTAGATCCAGGATGAGACGACATTTGTCTCGCTGCTCGACGACGTTGAGAGGACTGATGCATACCAGCTCCGACGTTGGTACCTCGATTGCTGCTCCGGTTCGAAGAAGGTCCATGATGGCTGATCGTGTAAAATCCATGTGAGCATGAGTTCCGGCATGATTGGAGCACCGAAATGGTTGTGGCGGTCCTTGCTTCCACGACATCCAGTAGCCTCGTTCGATTATTGATAAGATAAGACTGCTCGTACACCATGTACGCCACCAAGCCAACGCGGATCGCAACCGCCCTCGCATGACGGAAATTGTCAAATCCGTCACTGCGCATTCAAAGGGGTCGTCTTGCTGCCCATGGCATGCATCAGAATGCCTGCACATGGTAGTAGACAAAGATCCAACACATGACAGTTAGCATTTTTTTTTTTTTTTTTTTTGGGTTTATCGAGGAAGCATTGACGCTCGAGTGGGATAACCCTTCTTGCCGGCACGAGAACCGATTACTTTTTTTTTTTTTTTTTAGAGTCAGTTCATGGCAAGGTTGTTTGCCCTTCAGTTTCTCCTATGATTGTTGAGGTATTAAGCTTCTCGAGACTTCGTTGCCTCTCTCCAAGAACCTTCTTGAGGCATGGGGCAGAAAC